ATACATATACTTTTATCAAGTCACAGCAGGATCCCAGGATCGATAGATGGTTGTTAATGTTTCAAGTCTCCATTAATACTTTTTATACTCATTACACATTGCTTGTTTGACACAACTGATTCGGGTGATACAGTCAGGGCCAACCAAATTTTCCTTCAAGGGGTCAAAAGCTACCACTGTGGCACAATTCGACCGAATCCTACAAAATTAAACACGTCTGTTGTGAGTCCAATTGGTTATTTCTGTCGGATGAGAACAGCCAATTCCAAGGTTTGTAGCCCACGAATCGTAAAATGACATTGCCATGTCAAAGTGAAATCTTTTGTTTAAGCATGAAATACGACAATGGACGGGAGAGGCGCATAGAAAGCTATCGAAATAGGTCATGGATGTGAGATTCGAGAACCTATTTACAAAACAAACGTGGTATACATGTATATCAGTCGACATTTGAAGTTGTGGAAAGAAATGGTTGTGTTGTGATGGACGGAATCGGGTCGGCTGGAGTCCGTCGCAGTGGACACGGGCCCTAAAATTGAGCAAACGGCTTTCCAACCGACTTGTCTTTTGTCGGGGCGTGTCGTATCGTGTCTGTTGACACAGCCAAACGGACTTTTCACTGACTTCTTAGGAAATGAACGGTGCTCCATTTCAAGTGTCGACTTTCCGAGAGACAGACGGAATCGGGTCGGTTGGTGTCCGTCGCAGTGGACATGGGCCCTAACTTTACTTATTTTTCAAAGCGTGTGTCTTGAATTTGAGGAAATAAGAGTTAAAAAAGAGAGGAAGCCCGACATTCACCAAGGTGCGAGATCTGGAGACAGAGACAGAAGCTCAGGCATATGGGACACAGCACAGGTGGTCGTAGATGAAGAAGATGGCCTAGAATAGAGACAAGTGGAGAGTGGAGAGTCCTTCTACTTCTAGGTGGTCTATGCTCAATACCAGGGCGGATGATGATGATGATGACTATTTTACTTCAAATTATTTTCAACTCCATCCTAGCCATCAAATTAATTAGTACCTAAACAGATCCTTCCACTGTCGTTATGCGTTATCTATTTAAAAAAACAAAACCAAAAAAAACACTTTTTAAAATATTCACGACATCATTTCAAACATAATAAACAAACAACAATGAATTGTCTCTCAGACTTTATTTTTTGTCCATCCTTCACAGTTTTCAAACCTTCAAACATTATTTCAGTGAACATATGTAGGAAAATCAGTCCCATAGCGTTTTAGAAAAACAAAGCATAGAATATTTAAATTCAAGATGGCCGCCAAGGTCACAATGCAGTTAACACTGCCTACAATGTATATAATCATGATATAATGACAAAAACAAGAAAAAGAAGAAGAAAAAGAAGAAGAGAAAGAAGAAGAAGAAGAAGAAGAAGAAGAAGAA